TTAGTCTCCAAAAAAAGATCAAGAGTGCTTCAATCAAACACAATATTCTATTGATATGTAGATTATCCAGCACAGGAGGGGGACACAAGAGAGCATTTTCCAAAAAGAGATGGTTCTTTGAAAACACCATCTTTGAAACTGACCATCCACTGGCAAGAATGATTAACAAAAAAAAAAGTACTAGTAACTAATGCTAGGAATGAAAAAGGGGCCAAATATGCTATAGACCTAAATATGCTATAGAAAAAAATTCCAAGATAATAAGCTTAATAGTTTAACATAAATATGAAATGGACAAATTTTTAGAAAAAGTTCTAGAAAACTGGAATGGTACTAGAGCTATCAAAAATTTTAACCATCTCCTTCTAAGAACAGGAACAAGACAGGGATGCCCACTCTCACCACTTCTATTTGACATATTACTGGAAGTACTAGCCACTGCAATTAGACAAGAAGAGGAAATAAAAGGCATCCAAATTGGAAAAGAAGTAGTAAAATTATCCTTATTTGCAGATGATATGATATTGTACATAAAAAACCCAAAAGACTCCATAAAAAACTAATTGACTTAATAAATGAATTTGGCAATGTAGCAGGATACAAAATTAATGCCAAGAAATCTATGGTATTTCTGTACACCAATAGTGAACTTATAGAAACAGAGACTAAAAAGGTAATCCCATTTACCATTGCACCAAAAAAATTAAGATACCTAGGAATAAACATAACTAAGGAGGTAAAAGACCTATATGCAGAAAACTACACCACACTGAAAAAAGAGATAGAAGAAGATGTACACAAATGGAAGAACATATTATGTTCATGGATTGGTAGAATCAACATTAAAATGTCCATACTTCCCAAAGCAATTTATAGGTTCAGTGCACTCCCCATTAAAATTCCAACGGCATATTTCACTGACCTAGAAAGAACTCTCCAAAAATTCATTTGGAACAATAAAAGACCCCGAATAGCCACAGCAATCCTGAGAAAGAAGAGTAAAGTAGGAGGGATCTCAATACCAGATTTCAAGCTGTATTACAAAGCCACTGTTTTCAAAACAGCTTGGTACTGGCACAAGAACAGACATATAGATCAATGGAATAGAGAATCCAGATATCAACCCAAATCACAATGCTCAATTAATATTTGACAAAGGAGGCATGAATATACAATGGAGTCAAGACAGTCTCTTCAATAAATGGTGTTGGGAAAATTGGACAGATACATGAAAAAGAATGAAACTAGATCACCAACTTACACCATACACAAAAATAAATTCAAAATGGATACAGGACTTAAACATAAGAAGGGAAACCATAAAAATACTAGAGGCATCCACAGGTAGCAAAATCTCAGACATATGCCAAAAGAACTTCTTCACTGATACTGCCCATAGGGCAATGAAAGCCAAAGAGAAAATAAACAAATGGGACTACATCAAGATAAAAAGCTTTTTTACAGCAAAAGAAGCCATCAACAAAACAACAAGAAAGGCCACTGTGTGAGAGAACACATTTGCAAATGTTATCACTGATAAAGGTTTAATCTCCAACATCTACAGATAGCTTATACAACTTAATAAAAGAAAGATAAATGACCCAATTAAAAAATGGGCAATGGATCTAAATAGAATCTTCTCAAAAGAAGACAGAAGGAAGGCCAAAAGGCACATGAAAACATGCTCAAAGTCACTAATTACCCAAGAGATGCAAATCAAAACAACAATGTGGTACCATCTCACACCTGTCAGAATGGCCAACATCAACAAATCAACAAACGACAAGTGTTGGCGAGGTTGCGGAGAAAAAGGAACCCTCGTGCATTGCTGGTGGGAATGCAGAATTGTGCAACCACTGTGGAGAACAGTATGGAGCTTCCTCAAAAAACTGAAAATGGAACTCCCATTTGACCCAGTAATCCCACTCCTAGGAATATATCCCAAGAAGCTAGAACACCAATCAGAAAGGATATATGCACCCCTATGTTCATAGCAGTACAATTTTCAATAGCTAGGATTTGGAAACAGCCTAGGTGCCCGTCAGCAGATGATTGGATCCAAAAACTATGGTACATCTACACAATGGAATATTATGCTGCCATAAAAAAGAATGAATTCTCATCATTTGCAGTAACCTGGATGGAATTGGAGAACATCATGTTGAGTGAAATAAGCCAGTCAATGAAAGAGAAACACCACATGACTTCACTCATTTAGAACATTATAAACTGATGAACCAAACGATAGATATAGAGACAGTAAAGCAACAAACAGACTGTCAAATTACAGCAAAGAGGGTAGGGAGATTGGAGGAAGATAAAAGATCAACTGAAGGACTTGTATGCATGCATATAAGTACAACCAATGGACACAAAACTCTGGGGAGGGTGGGCATGTATGGGGGGGGAGGGCAATGGTATATGTACAGAGATAATAATTTAATAAAAAAATTAAAAAAAATTTTAACCATCAATATAGAATCATCCCTCAAAGAAAATTACAAAAGACAAGTTTAACCAAATTAGAAATGATCCTTAATCAGAAAACATACAACAAACAAAAGTATCCAGCATATATAAAGAATTTATACAAATGAGTTAAAGGACAACCCAATACAAAAAAAGCAAAACTCTTAACCTGAATGAACAATATATTTAACTTCCTTATCAACTAGGGAAATGCACATGAAAATCACAATGAGATACTATTTATTACAAACCCCGAACAATGGTAAAAATAAAAATAAGAATATCAAGTTTTGATGAGAATATGATCAATTAAAACTGTTACTATATATTGCTGTTAAAAATGTAAATTATACAACCACTTGGAAAATAATCTTGGTATTGCCCACAACAATGTGTATACACAATCTATGTTTTTAACAGCACTTTTTATACTGGTAATAAACACCTCTATGTTCATAAAAAGTAAGATAAATTACAGTATATTTACAAAATAGAAAACTAGAACAATGAAAATAATGAATCTCAGAATATACATAACGTTAAGCAAAAAATGCAAGCTGAGATTATATACAGTATAATTCTAATTGTATATAGTTCAAGATAGGCAAAATAAATAATATACTGATCAGAGATCTAAATATGTGATAGGCTTTTATAAGAAACCAGGATTGCGGTTATTTCTGAGAGGGAAGGCAAGGTAATGGGATCAGGTAAAGCCACATACTAGACTTTAAAGAAACAATGTTTTTTCTGTACCTAGTAATACTTAAAAAAAAAAAAAGTGTTCAAAAATATTTCAATGTATGGTATTTGAATTTTAATAGTTATTTTCTTCATAGGAATTTTTAAGATTAAAGATAGTATCACTGCTAAAATTCATTTATAAAATATATCTTTAAAAATGTCCTTAGAAGTCACTAATTATCCGAGAGATGCAAATCAAAACAACAATGCGGTACCATCTCACACCTGTCAGAATGGCCAACATCAACAGATCAACAAACGACAGGTGTTGGCGAGGTTGTGGAGAAAAGGGAACCCTCGTGCACTGCTGGTGGGAATGCAGACTGGTGCAACCACTGTGGAGAACAGTGTGGAGTTTCCTCAAAAAACTGAAAATGGAACTCCCATTTGACCCAGTAATCCCACTCCTAGGAATATATCCCAAGAAACTAGAAACACCAATCAGAAATGATATATGCACCCCTATGTTCATAGCAGCACAATCTACAATAGCTAGAATTTGGAAACAGCCTAGGTGCCCATCAGCAGATGATTGGATCAAAAAACTTTGGTACATCTACACAATGGAATACTATGCTGCCATAAAAAAGAAGGAATTCTCATCATTTGTAGCAACCTGGATGGAAATGGAGAACATCATGCTGAGTGAAATAAGCCAGTCATTGAAAGAAAAACACCACATGACTTCACTCATTTGTGGATAATAAAGAACATTATAAACTGATGAACCAAAAGATAGATATAAAGATAGTATATCAACAAGCAGACTGTCAAATTACAGCAGGGAGGGGAGGAAGAGCTGGGGGAGATAATAGATCAACCGAAAGACTTTTATACATGCACATAAGTACAACCAATGGACATAAAACTCTGGGGAGGGAGGGGATGTGAGGGAGGGAGGGAGGGGGTGCAAAAAAAAAAATCAAAAAAATATATATATATTTAAAAAAAAAAAAAAAGACTGAAGAAAGGACCTCTTTTCCACTATTTCGAATGCTTAATAGCTAATTTCATAACATCACATGTACCATTTTAAGAAAGAGATGATTTAGTGGGAAATTAATGCTTTGCATCTGTATACTGTAAATATAAATGACGATTTGTTTGAAATGTGTAACTAGGATATGCAAAAGATAATAACTCACAATGTTAATATTAAATATTACTTCAAAATAAAAAAAAATAAAAATAAATAAAAATAAATAAAAAAAATAAAAAAATAAAATAAAAATGTCCTTAGAATGCTAATAAATATTTTAAAATTCCCTATAACTACAAAAGCAGGAAAATAAAGGGGAAGGAAAACCTACATGAAAAAATAGTTCTTTCTGGCCATAAAAAAGAAGGAATTCTCATCATTCGCAGCAACCTGGATGGAATTGGAGAACATCATACTGAGTGAAATAAGCCAGTCAATGAAAGAGAAACACCACATGACCTCACTCATTTATGGATAATAAAGAACATTATAGACTGATGAACTAAAAGATAGATATAGAGACAGTAAAACAAAAAGCAGTCTGTCGAATTACAGCGGGGAGGGTAGGGAGATCTGGGGGAGATAATAGATCAACCGAAGGACTTGTATGCATGCATATAAATACAACCAATGTACACAAAACTCTGGGGAGGGAGGGTATATATGGGAGGGGAAGGTAATGTTAAAATATGTACACAGATAATTTAATAAAAAAATGTAAAAGAAAAAAAAAGAATAGTTCTTTCTGAACATGAACTGTACTAGTAACATAAGTAATATATAATTCATAGCAACACAATTATCTTACCTTTATTGGTGAAATATGAGAATGAGAAACAAATCCATGGACATTCTCGATTTCTGACAGGTTTTTCTCTGAAATATGAACCAATTCTGGACCTATCACCTCATTAGTGATTTGTGGGGAAATGTGCTCTTGAGGAGGTGTATCTTCATCCCGATACCGGTATTTCTGTAAAATAAAGAAAATAGTTAAATATGAAGAAGTCCTGAGAAGCAAAGTAAATTCAGTTAAATAAGTTTCATAACTAGCCAAATACTCGATAATATTAAACTATATAAAATGTATTTTATGGTTTTACAAACATAGACTCTGAGAGAAATTTGCCTTCATTTTAAAGTCATGCCAACATTTAAATGAAATTAGATTATTAAAAATAGTTCAGATTCTGAAAAGATGGAGAAGTAGGAAGCCCCAGGAATCTGTCTCTGTACCTATATAACAATTGCACAGGCAGAATATGATGTAACTATTTTGGAAATGTGGAGTTTGTTAAAGGCTTATCACTTCCAGGGGAAAACTTGGATGATAAATTGAAGTTAATTTTGGTCAACTTCACCACTTCTATTCAATATATTAATAGAAGTTGCCAACCGGAACTATAAGACAAGAAAAAGAATTGAAAGGCATCCAAATTGACAAGGAAAAAGTAAAACAATCTGTTTGTAGATGACATGATTTTATGTAGAGAAAATTCTAAAGACTTGGCAAAAACACTCTTAGAACTAATGAATTCAGCAAAGTAACAGGATACAAAGTCAACACACAAAAATCATGTGTTGCATTTCTGTACACAATTTAAAAAGAAAATGACAAAAACAATTCCATTTACAATAGTATTGAAGCAAATAAAATAATTAGAAATGAACTTAAACCAACAAGGTGAAAGACTTGTACAATGAAAACTATAAAAATGCTGAGAGAAATTAACAATGACAGAAATAGTGGAAACACATCCAACATTCATGGATTCGATTTCATATTATTAAGATGTCAATAGTACTCAAAGCAGTTTACAGGTTCTAATCAATCCCTATCAAAATCTCAATGACATTATTTCCATAGAAACAGAAAAACCCAATTAAAATTCATTTGAAATTTCAAGGGATCTGAATAGTCAAAATAATAATGAAGAACAAAGTTGGAAACGCAAATTTCCTCATCTCAAAACTTGATTACAAAGATGTAAAATAAACTCTCACAATTATGCTAAAAAGAAAAAAAAATTGGGGGGGGGGGGGGGGGGAAGGGTGCCAAGGCCATTCACTAAGGAAAAGAGAGTCTTCAACAAATGTTGCTGGGAAAACTGGATATCCACATGAAAAAGAATGAAGTTGGACTCTTAGCTAGCACCATATACAAAGATCAATTCAAAATAGAACAAGGACCTATTATTTTAAGACCTAAAATAATAAGACTCTGAGAAGAAAACATAGTATAAAAACTCCAAGATGTTGCGTTTGGCCATGAATTCTTAAATATGACACCAAAGGCAAAGGTAACAACAAGACAAACTGTACTATAGAAAAAACTTTTTAAATTGTACATCAAGACACTATCCATAGAGTAAAAAGGCAATCCACAGAATGGGGGAAAATATTTGCAAATCATATACCTGGCAAGTGAAGAATATCCAGAATATATAGAGAACTCCTAAAACTCAACAACAACCAAACTCAAACACACAATTAAAAAATGCCAAAGAGCTTTAATAGCCATTTCTCCAAATTAGATACACAAATGGCCAATGAGCACAGAAAAAGATGTTCAACATTACTAATCATTAGGAAAATGCAAATCAAAACTACAATGAGATACCTTCCAAACCCATTAGGAAGGCACCTATTACAATAACAGGAAACTGTTGGTGAGGATGTAGAGAAACAAACCTTTGTGTACTGTTGATAGGAATATGAAATAGTATGTCAGTTCCTCAAAAAATTAAAATACAATTATTAATACCATATTATACAGCAATTTTAAATCTGGGTATATATACCCCAAAGAATTAGAAACAGGATCTTGAAGAGAGATATGTACACTATGTTCATAGCAGCATTAGTCACAATAGCTAATACATGGAAGAAACACAAGTGTCCATCAACAGATAAATGGATAAACCAAATGTGGTATATACATACAGTGGAATATTATTCAGTCTTAAGGAAGGAAATTCTGCACTATGTTATAACATGGGTAAATCTTATGGGTATTATTCTAAGTGAAATAAGCCAGTCATAAAAAGACAAATACTCTATGATTCCATTCATATGAGGTACTTAGAATAGTCAAAATCATAAAGCAAAGTATAATGATGGTTACCAGAGGTTGGAGGAGGGCAAAATTTTGAGTTATTGTTTACAGATATAGAGTTTCAGTTTTACAAGATGAAAGCGTTTTGGTGATGGATGGTGGTAACGGATCCACAACAATGCGCATATATTTAATACCACTGAATTATGGTTAAGCTGGTAATTTTATGCTATGTGTATTTTACCACAATTAAAAAAGAAAGTCATTTAAAACCCTGAATATTTATTTGTCTATTTCTTATCCAATGTTAGCTGAACACTGTATCTCTAAAGATAGTTGTTTAAGTGAAGTAAATATGAAAAGCTAAAGTTGTTCTGGTTTTCTTATTCAGTTAATTTGTACACAAATGAATAAAATCAGCCTTTTAAATCTAATTAAAAAATTAGTATATTAGATAACATTTATCTTTTATCTACAAAAGAATCCATTTCTTGCTCTCTCTCATACATACATATAATTCTATGCAACCTATTTTCAAAAGATTAACATAAGAAAACTATATCTCACACCATACATAAAAGTAAAAGATAGCATAATTATAAGAGCTAGGGGGGGGGGAATTAAAAGTTCATGTTTCTCAAATCAGTCAGGTGGGGAATATGTATGCATAAACACAAAACCAAACAAGCTAAAATATGCACCCTCCACCAAATAAGCACACTCACAAACTAACAAACAAATAAAAACAGACAAGGAATAACAGTAAAAAGAATTTATAACAACCAAGAGTCATTAACCAATATAAGCTGCTTTTATAAATCATATTTTAAAAAGTCAGCAAACATAATAAAGGAATATTCACAAAAGGCATACAAATGGGTCAGTAAACTTATAGAAAAAACATGCCAGCATTGAGAGAAATAAATATAAATTATCACACTCCTGGTAAAGGTCTTTTACTGCTGGGTAGTGTGGCAATTTATTTAAAAAGCCCTGAAAATGTTTCTACTTCTTGATCCAGTAATTTCACCTCTAGAAATTTCACCACAGGGGTAGCTATCAGTGAGTAGCTTAAATATATGTTGCATCTATATAAACAAGTGCATTATTAAATATTTTTTAAATCTTTACTATGAATTTGACTATGACCGTGGTATCACTTTTTAAATTCTTCCTTCAGTAAAATGTTACAATTACATGGAAAACAATCACATCAACATTAGTTAGCTTTAAAAAAATCTGTTTTTATATTATTTTCAAAACCACTGAATTCTTTAACTTCATCCTGAGTAAGGCTGAAATTAACATAAACATACAAAACTTAACATAGTTTATACACTCACTGAGATATAAAGTGGAAGCAAGATCTAAGTACTTTTATTTCTTCCCACTGCTCCCTCCCTTCCATTCTCTCAAGAAATCAATGGAAAAAGTATCCTTGGGTGAGGATTTAAAAAAAAAGGGGGGGGGGAGAACAAGCTGCCTACCAATAAACTACTTTCCCCACTCAAAGGGCTATATAAATTATGGTACAATCATTCTAGGAAATATGTAGAGGTTAAAGTGGGTAAAATCAACTACTTCTACTAGGAAAAGATGTAGACGTAGACTATTAAATGAGAAAAGCATCTTTCAAAGCTAACACACACATGGTTTCAACATTTCAAAGCAAAGCAATAGTGTATTTATGTAAATATATACATGTATAAACATTACATTAATATATATACAGTATGTGTATATGTGTATGTATGTACATGTACATATATTTATCTCCATATAAATGAGTGTGTGTGTGTGTGTGTGTGTGTGTGTAATTTGGGGGGCTCTGAAAGGACTTAAAACAAAAATGGTTCATTCTGAAAAAGAAAAATCCCTAAAAAATTATATACATAATTAGACTTTGATGCTTTTTAATCCTTTAATTATTGAAACCCCAAGGCAAAATCACTCCATTCTCATGGTGTCATTTAATGTGGCTCTTTGGTTTCTGTAGTTCCTGCAAATTGGCAGCTGAATGAATTAGTACAGTGGTCGGCAAACTCATTAGTCAACAGAGCCAAATATCAACAGTACGACTGAAATTTCTTTTGAGAGCCAAATTTTTTAAACTTAAACTTCTTCTAACGCTACTTCTTCAAAATAGACTCGTCCAGGCCATGGTTATTTTGTGAAAGAGCCACACTCAAGGGGCCAAAGAGCCGCATGTGGCTCGCGAGCCGCAGTTTGCTGACCATAAAATTAGTAGCTTGATCAGTCTCACATTCAATCCTTTTGGCAAGACAATAGATGGTACTGTGTTCTTTAATCAAGAAATACATATCTAGCCAAAACCTGTTTGGCTCAGTGGATAGAGCTTCGGCCTGTGGACTGAAAGGTCCCAGGTTTGATTCCAGTCAAGGGCATGTACCTTGGTTGCAGGCACATTCCCAGTATGGGGTGTGCAAGAGGCAGCTGATGATTCTCTCTCATCGATGTTTCTAACTCTCTATCCCTCTCTCTTTCTCTTGTAAAAAATGAATTTTATATATATATATAGATAGATATATATATATATATATATCTATATATCTATCTATATATATATTTTTTTTTAAGCACATATCTGGTTATTTCTTTTTAAAAAAAAATAATTCTTTATTGTTGGAAATATTATAATCCTTTTTTCCCCCTGCACTGACCCCCTCCAGCCTGGCCCTGGCCCCACAACCTCACCCCGCCAGACCCTCAATGCCTCATTGTCTGTGTCCATGGGCCATGCATATATGCATACAAAGTCCTTGGTTGATTACATCCCAACTCCCACCCCCACCACCCCCGCCTTCCCTGGGGGATTCTGCACTCTGTTCCATGCTTCCACATCTCTGAATCCATTCTGTTCATCAGTTTATTTTGTTACTTAGATTCCACATGAGTGA